AAAATAACTGTACCGGTAAACTCGAGCCTTCATTCGTACAAGCAAGGAATACTTATTTCATGAAGATTAACCAGACAGTGCGGAATTAAGATCCGGTGCAAACCAGCGGTTGCGGCAGACAGTCGGAGCGGTGGCAACCTGTCATTAGAAGGACAGAGAAATAAAGTTCTTTTGTCTCGCAGGAAGAAAGATAAGAGAATTTTATGTTTCTGTTCTTCCGATGGCGATCTATCGCAATCGCTCGTCTACACCGGGTGTCTGAAGGTGATTTTCGAGGAGAGGCTTTACTTACCAGAAGAAGCGCTACCGCTGGGTCGTAACGACATACCGATGGACGATATCTCGTCGGCAAAGAAATCTTTGTCGCGTTGTCCATCTCGGCAGCCTCGATTTTTGTCCGGCATAATTCCTCCACGGTGTTCCTGGCTCCTCGACTTTTACCGACTACGAAGCATTCTTTCGTTCACCGTCGCATCGCTCGCTCGTCACGAGGTCATCTTCTCGAAACATTATTATACCACAGCGTTTTATCTCCATACCCATACTCGGCTTCACGTTGGGAACTTTAATAATTTCGCGCGACTCGAAATCTACTCGGAATTCCTGTCTCTCGTGCAAAGCGCGTAATAAATTTAAATCCGATGCATTGTGAGACGAACAATGAAAACGCTTTGTCCTCTATTTTTTGCCTTGTCAGTAACGAAATGTACAATGTGATTGCGGTAATTGAAAGACGGACAGCTATTGCCAATTACGCAGAACGTGACAGGTTTGTCTTCTCTCCCGACGTATGCAAACACGTAGAGATCTTTACAACTAAAACGATTACAACGCGTAGAAAGGCAGGAATAGTGGAGGACTTGTAGCAAGATGTGAACGTTGGAAGAAACATTAATCAACACGCAAATAATTTCAATTGCCAGTCGGGTGAAAGCTACACGTAAAAATAGTAGAGAATATAGAAAAGAAAAATGATAGACAGAAATGATAAGGAAAAGCTCCGCCGTTTTTCGAGCGTAGCCATGAATATTCAAAAGGAGATACGGTAATTCGGCCTAGCACTACTTTCATGTGGATCAACTTCGAAAAGATTTCGTGTCGCCAAGTTCAAGGATTAAGCTCCTCGTCCGGTCGTGTGTGGAGCAATCGAAACAGCAAGGGGTAAAAGGGCCAAACTCCGCGAGATATTTCGATGCGCAGTGTATGCTTTGGCCGGCGTTGACCCAGATCCGTGAAACTCGATTCAAATAAGAGAGATTGATAGCAGTTTTCGACGGATTCTTCGCTATCTCTGTGTGCTTTCAAGCTAGTCGATTAACGATGCCAATTAAACAACGTTGGATCGATAGGGCAGTAGCAGCAGCTGCGATTTAATCAACGACAACGAAACGTTACTATGAATTAAACGATTCCGAAAGCAGGTCAAGAGTCCATCCGAGGTCAAACCAGGGTTATCGTACCCGTGTTTTCCGCGTTCATCTCGTCTCCCTTGCACAATTGATCGGCCAACATGCGCCGCGCCAATTGTTATCGATAAAGGATCAGTAAAAAGGACGAAACGTAGAGTTCAAGGTGTCAATCGTTACTCGAGAGATACTCAGTTGAAATGACACACGGTTATCGATTTTTCTACATACCCATATCTCTCTCGTCTGTTCGACATTCGCTTTCTTCGATTTTCGTTCGAATCGAAATTCAGTCACGATATGTATCTGAAATACATCGGTTTTTTTTTTTCCGCGTGAAATGATGCAATAGCCGATAACACGAAGCTTCGAGATTACATCGGCTATCGGAGAGTGAGCAACAAAAGCGCGTCAACCGGTTTCAATCAAGTTTATGACAATCTCTGACGTTTTCAATAACTCTCTTTTTTCCTTTCGAACAAAAAAAAAAAAAAAAAAAAAGAAAAAGAAAAGAAAAAAAGTTTACAGACTGTTTCACCCACAGAACATTATAGGACATCGAGGGATAAGTGTTCCATTAGCGAGGCCATCAAAGCCCTCGAGCAGTAACATTTTAAAGGTGAAAGAAGGATGTGGCACTCTGGACGTTTTCCAGATCTCTTCGTCTTCCTCCTTCTTTCCGCAGGCTGTGGCCGAGGCGAGAAATACACGTGGGATAGGAAAAGAAGAAAAAGAAAATGTAGTACGGTGCAATAAAAGAATCAACCGCCAGCACACGGCGAGCTCGCGTGGACTCTTGACCTTTTCGAACGGATATCCTTCACTGGCATTACTTCGTGCTAACGATCCTTTCGGTAGTAAGAGGGGTGGCAGTGGGGTTGGAGCAGCAGTAGGAGGCGGTGGTGGTGAGCAGGGAAAACCAGGCCATACGTATGTCATACATTCTCATGATTATGCACGAGAGGGTTGTCAGTATTATAAAGGTAGGACAGATCGATTCCAACGTTTGCTATTGCACGCTTTTGTGTCTATCCTACGCTAACCACGAACGCGATATACACGGTTCTCTGGGAATTGCAGACGAGCAAGGAGGAGATTTCGTTTCAGTCTGTTTAATTTTGTTAATTTGCGAATTTCTCCTTGTTCGCCTCCTCCTTCTCTTACTTCAGAATATTTCGAAAGCGATACGCGATACCTTGGGATCTGTACACCAGGGGCATCGAACAAACTTGATGATACCAGTTTTACTAACGTGGCGCCGTATCCTTTATACTCTGCTATCCTACCACGTTAATGAAAAATCCTTAAACTGCGCCGTTAGTTTAACAGTAGCACGATTCTGTTTGTAATTACGATTCTTTTCTTAAATGTAAGGTCTAAGCAATAAGTTTCGTTGAAAGGAATGTTTTCGAGAACCTTAGCCTTGTACAGAACTCGGATGAAAGGACGTGGTATCGTGAATACTCTCCCGCGAGAATATATATATAAAACAATGAGCGATTGTTTCCCTACATTAATTAAAATCTTGCCAACTACTAGAGACAACCGTGCATCTATTTAAACATTTTTTTTTTTCGGCATAAGTAATATCTTTAATAGCGTAAGTAATACATTAATTTTCTCTAGTTAGTATTATTATTAATTGTTTTCTATTATGGACAAAAGTTAGTTAGTACGAAGGATTGATTTTACAATCGCGGACTTGTGGGAAAATTTGAGGACTGATGGATAAGATTGAATCGGAAATGGCACACATATTTTCTTTTAATATCAATCTGACTTTTTAACAGAGGCAATCGCGGCTTTCATTATTCTCAGCCTTCGTTTCTCGCATTTATTTCAAGATTCGTTCTCGATAAATAAATAAATAAGTAAAAATTTAAAATTTAAAGGAATAAAAGATTATAAAGAGAATAAAGAGTTAATTTAAAAAGATAAAATCGACGATAATAACAAAGAAACACGATTCGCCGGTTTATTCGTGTGCTGATTAATTCTTCGTGTCACGGTGAAACATAAATTAATGTCCCAAATTTGCTTGTTACGTGCGAGACAAAAAATAACACTGCTAAAGTAACGCTAATTTATTGTACGGTTGGTTTACATTCATATGATTCATCAAAGCAAGAAATAATGTTCCTCGTACGAATTTTTTCCATGAAGTATATTTCATGAAATTCATTGCTCCGAAAAATATAATGCATGCTATTAGAAATATAAATTTTTAATTGAAAGCTGCAATATTTCACTTACTTAAACAAAAAAAGAGATAAACATACATGCGATATAAATCCTTGTGATTCATTTACGCGAGTTTTTCATCGACCGATATGTTTGCTTATATATTCCATCACATTCCCATTCCTAATTTACATTTCATTTACAATTCTCTATAGTGTGTAATCAAGTTTAGATGAACGATTTCTGATCGTTTTTATGCAAGCCCCTATAGTATCGTGCATAAATAATTGGACACTTAGTGCAATTGCATTTAAAGTTTAATATTCTTGTTTTCGTTTTTATATAAATAATGTTTTGTTAAATGATGTTTTGTAAAATCTGTGTAAACCTTCTCAATGTGGTTGGGAATATTTCAATTAGTCTAAAATTATCAACAATTGTCATTCCGGAGTCTTCGGCTGCCTATCATTATAATTATCATAAATATTAACTATTCTTTTCATCAACACGTATTAATTATATATTTAAGATTAAATTAAAAAGATTCATTTGAATTATATTTGTTGTTATAATAATTTAAAAATGTTGAAATACTGTTATGTTAATACGAGACTCTTTCTTACGTGAGCGATCATGCGGTAAAAAACTGGACAGGTATTTAAAACATGAGAAGTGGT